GTATCGGTATTGGCGAGTACCCAAACTCAAGTACTCGTATTTGTACTCAGTCTTGAAAAAACTGGTATCGGGACACCCCTATTTTAAACCTTAATAAAAAATCGATACAGGGCTTTAGAATATCGATACAGTATCGGGAAATGAAACATCGCGATATTTCAGTGTATCGATATTTTCTTACACTCCTACCTGGCATGCACTGAGTGCATTGCAATATAAAAACCTACATTTCCAGCCATAGTAAAGTGATTATAAATTTTAATTGTGATTAATCGCAATTAAAACTTTTAATCTATGCCCATGCAGCACTAATCAGAGTTAACTTGATTAATTTCACAGACTTATTGGTAACACAACTGACAGTAACTCAGTCTAAAATGTTTTCATTTGTTTAATCAGATGTCAGGTTTTATACCTCTGTATAACCATGATAATATTTTTGTAATACAAATACGGTAACGTTTTTCTTATTTTATCAAAATTTGAACATTTTTGTTTCGGGCAGGTAACGTTTATGTCGGGCAGGTAAAAAAAAAAAAGTCTTGTCGAACGCTGAGCTACACCATCAGAAATGTTACCGCTGCAGGACCCACCTGGAGCAGAGCGTTTAGGAACATCTCTCTGAGTGGCTGAGGGACTGAGAGATGACAGTCACTGGAGCTGATCTTGAAGGTAGTCTCCAAACACTGGATCGCAACTGAAGAGATGAAACACAACATAATGAAGGTAACAGCTTGAGGAGGTTCAGTTAACTGTAGCTAACAAAGGAAATCATGATCTGAATGCTCAAAAATCATCTGTTATCTGGCACTAGAAGCTGGAGAACCTCAGTCCTTTAACTCAAATGTATTTTCATAATTTAAGAAAACCTGTATTTTCTCAATATTATGAGAATATAATGTAGAGACAAGCCCACAATGGTTGGACATACCCTCGAGGCTCTCCTGCTCATCAGAATTCAAAGCTCCACTGTGTGTCTGATCTCGTAGGAACTGGACGATGGAATACGCCAGGCGCTTCTCCACAGCCATTCTGACCTAAAAACTGATGTCCACAGACGGAAATATGGAAATAAATATTTTAAATTCACCATCAATTTATCATAAATGTAAAAAAAAACAATGATGGTGTACTGCTACCAATCAGCACGAACAAATTTAAAGATAAATGTTCTTTAAGTGGAAACATTTTGAGCCAAGATGTCAGAAACACTAATAAAAACATGTGGTTCTAACATTTCATACACTTTTCTACCCAAATCCTTTTCCTACCCATGCCGTAGGCACTAATGCACCTAAATACCATCAGAGAGGCATGATTTTGAACTGTGCACTCAGGGCCAGTCCTAGCCAATTTGACGTCCTATAGGCAAGATTTCAGTTGGCACCCCTTGTGCAATTTTCTAAATCTCACTGCCAATTTGCTAACATTCACATATGTTAAATAGTTTTGTCTTTGATATTATTTGATATTATTTTTTAATCTTTAGAAATCAGGTTATTCAAATAAAATACTTTGAAACAGAATACCAGACGCAGAGCCTGAGGACCCTGGGTCGGACTCTCCAATCTCTGGTGCCGGTGGTGTGGGGTTGCGTTGGTTGACACAACTCTATAACATCGCGTGAACATCGGGGGCAGTTCCCCTGGATTGGCAGACAGAGGTGGTGGTCCCCTATTTAAAAATGGGGACCGCAGTGTGTGTTCCAAATATAGGGGATCACACTCCTGAGTCTCCCTGATAAGGTCTATTCAGGGGTTCTGGAGAGGAGGGTCCGTGAGCAGTGCGGTTTTCGCCCTGGTTGTGGAACAGTGGACCAACTCTACACCCTCAGCAGTGTCCTAGAGGGTGCATGGGAGTTCGTCCAACCAGTCTACATGTGTTTTGTGGACTTGGAGAAGGCGTTCGACCGTGTCCCTCTGGGACTCCTGTGGGAGGTACTCCGGGAGTTTAGGGTACCAGGCCCATTGATACGGGCTGTTAGGTCCCTGTACGACTGGTGCCAGAGCTTGGTCCACATTGCTGGTAGTAAGTCGGACTCGTTTCCGGAGAGAGTTGGACACCGCCAAGGTTGCACTTTGTCACCAATTCTGTTCATAACTTTTATGGACAGAATTTCTAGGTGCAGCCAAGGTGTTGAGGGGATCTGTTTTGGGGACCTTAGGATCACATCTCTGCTTTTTGCAGATGATGCGGTCCTTTTGGCTTCATCAGATCGTGGTCTCCAGCTTTCACTGGAGCAGTTAGTTTGCAGCCGAGTGTGAAACGACCGGGATGAGGATAAGTGCCTCCAAATCCGAGACCATGGTCTTGAGCCAGAAAACGGTAGCATGCCGTCTCTGTGTCGGGGAGGAGGTTTTATCTTGGGGTCTTGTTCACGAATGAGGGAAGAATGGAGCGGGAGATCGACAGGCGGATTGGTGCTGCGTCTGCAGTGATTAGGGCACTGTACCGGTTTGTCATGGTGAAGCGAGAGCTGAGCCAGAAGGCGAAGCTCTCGATTTACCGGTCGATCTACGTACCTACCCTCATCTATGGTCATGAACTTTGGGTAGTGACTGAAAGAACGAGATCACGGATACAAGCAGCTGAAATGATTTCCTTTGCAGGGTGTCTGGGCTCTCCCTTAGAGATAGGCTGAGAAGATCAGTCATCCGGGAGGGACTCAGAATAGAGCCGCCGCTCCTCCACGTCGAGAGGAGCCAGTGGTTCATCTGATTAGGATGCCTCCTGGACGCCTCCCTGGTGAGGTGTTCTGGGCACATCCCACTGAGAGGAGGCCCAGAGGAAGACCCAGGACACGTTGGAGGGACCATGTTTCTCGGCTGGCCTGGGAACACCTTGGGATTCCCCCGGATGAGCCGGCCCAAGTGGCTGGGGAGAGGGAAGTCTGGGTTTCTCTGCTAAGGCTGCTGCCCCCGCGACCCGACCCCGTATAAGGGGCAGAAAACGGACGAACGAAACAGAATACCAGAAGTCTACCTCATACCTGCCAACATCTGCTGACAGCAACGAGGAAAATCTGTTCATGTTAACTGTGAAGCTTGGTTTATAGCTGACGTGCTGAATATGGCATGAGGGTGAGCATGCCAAAAGTGACACAATCATGACCTCCCCACCATATTGCGTTGGCCCTGTGTGGTGTACTGGGGCGTAGTCACGCATCTCTGAATTTTTGTAATTCTGCAAAGGCTGTATGCGCTGCACACCATTCAAACAGTTTGCTCGTATAGCTTTTGCTCTCCTATTTACAACATTTCACAAGTTGTACAGTGTTCTACCACATGTCCTTTTGGAGAATACTACAACAACGTAAGTAAACACTTCCACGATGGTGAAGGTGCAAGACTACCAAACTTCAAAACTGTATTTTCCAGTCATTTGAAGAGCATTTTACTAAACTCTTGGGATTAATAATACAACATAAAATTAGTATTTTATGAAGGTAGAACACTGAAAACCAGCCTTTAACCTGAATTTGTCTCAGATCATAGCAAAAACTTCCATTATTTTTTGTTTTCTACACTGAGAACCAATAGTTAGTCTTGACTGCATCATGTGATACTTTTATTGTGAAACATCCTCTGCATCATATAACACCTCATGTAGAAACAGAACAAGTTACCTTCATAAACTTGAGTAGCCAGTGATTATACTACAGACTACATCAACTGATAAAAAGTTATACATTTTCTTCAGCCCCCAGATGGACGGCATATGCCACGGGCCAGCCCTGTGTGCCCTGATAACAAGACGGATAGTTCCTCTCTTCTTCAGTGCAAGGAATGTGACGTATCATATACGTGGTTTTCAAAAAGACTTTTACAATTTGATTAATGTGACCACCAGACAGTTTGCCTCGATTTATTTTAAATAAGCTCAGACTCAGTGATTTTTCCAGATTCTTTCAATCTTTTGCTGATATTGTGAACCATATGGAATATTTAAAGTTTTCCCTATTTTAATTTAAGAAACATTATTCTCAAAATGCTCTACCATTTTGAAATGTTTTTTCCTCGGACAGGTGAGTCTCTGCCCCATCTTTTGAGAGTCACCCTCTCACAAACCCATCTTCAGCACCTTTTGCTAATTAAAGTAATTAGTTACAAAAGGCTGTTTTTTTTAGTTGCCCCTGACCCCACGTTTTTCTGAGATTCTGGAGTTTTTGTTAGTTTATTCTGTTTATTTTTGCTTTCTGTGCTTTACATAGTGTCTGTTTTGCTCCCTGTGTCAGTCTAGTTTCTGCTCAGCGTCTTTCCCCAGCTCCTCAGATGTGTCTCATTTCCCTTCATTAGTTTCACCCTTTATAAATACTGTCTTGTCTTCTCCTCCCTGTCAGTCAGCTTTGCTTTCCAAGCCAGTCTTGTTCCTGGTTTTTTTTTAACTCCTGTGAAATTCAACAGGTTTTGAAATGCATTGCTACTATCACATTAAACTTAATTTTCTTCAGTTGCAAATAATTGCCTTCATCCCGACTTTGTTCAAATTGTAGTTGAGCATTAAAAAAAAATGTATCTTAAAGATTTTTTCAGAGTGATGTAGTTTACCACTGTGGTTGAGTTATCACAAACATTTAGTTGTTCAGAATGGCTGTTAACAGTTTTTAAAACAAACCAGATGAAACTGGTCTGTGCAGTCATTTTGTTTGTGTGTTGAGTTCACAACATGTGTGAAGTTAGCACAGGACATAGAGGTAAGCTGCTGGTTTGGCTGACAGACACAAGGATGCAGCTCCTGTTTCCCAGACAAGGCAGGATGATTGTGTTGTTGTTGTCTGATCAGCCTCACAAACAGTGTGTGCATCAGGAGCGAAAGGAGGAACACACATCCGATCCTAATCCTGATTTTCTGTGCCCAGAAGACACTGCCTGATATTTCCATCACGTGCTGAAACCATGCGCAGCTCTGTTCTTTTGGGTCTGCCTGGCACAGCCACTCCTCCCTCTGTGTGTGTGTGTGTGTGTGTGTGTGTGTGTGTGTGTGTGTGTGTGTGTG